TTTTGCCTTCCTCTGCCACATTCCCCCAGAAAACCCACCCTTCAGCACTAAATTGGAGCAAGTGTCAATCTGAAGAAAACCTGATTGACATTTGCTCTGATTCAGTGGTAAACAGCAGGAGAAAGTGGCAGGACAATTGGGAGTGTGCATGAGCCCGAAGTCTCTCTTCTTTTCAAACTCAGTAGCAAAGCCCAGGAGGAGCTGTCCAGGGTCCTGCCTTGCCTTGCCTTGCCTTGCCTTGCCTTGCCTTGCCTTGCCTTGCCTTGCCTTGCCTTGCCTTGCCTTGCCTTGCCTTGTCTTACTACAATCTGACCTAGACTTGAAGAGGCTCTGATATTCCCAACCACTCCCCCCACAGGTCCCAAGCCCCAGAAGAACAGGATACAAGAAGGAGCTATGTGCAGAATTGGGCTTCTGTTTGTGAATTACCCTCCCTGAGAACACATAATACTTTCTGTCCTTTCACATTCCAATCAAGGTTGTCATGGAGAACAACAATTCTACATTCACATTGCCGCAGGTGTGAAATAGATGATCAGCACTGGGAGTTTGTCATCCACAGATTTTATTTTGGGCAGTTAAGGGGGAAAGGAGGGCCAGAACCAAGTCTGGCAGCCACTGCCTTCATCCGTCTTGTAAAAGGCAATCTGATCCATGCTGAAGTATCAGCGGACAGCATTTGGCAGACCTAGATCCATTTTCACAAGCATAGGTTGGGCCTCTGCTACAAAACAAAAAAAGAAAGAAAGATGACATGGATTTCAGATGCCTTTTCTTTTAAAATCATGATTGCAGGATATTTCTTTTTAAACACAAAGCTATTGTTGTGTGTTTGGGATTTGTAGCTTTGTAGGTCACCTCAAACTAAGGTTATCAGACGTCCCCATTTCCCAGGGACAGTCGCCAGATTTACAAATCAGTCCCCATACAAATCCGTTGAAGATGAAAAGTGTCCCTGGATTCACTGAAAAAAATCTGGTAACCTTAACTCAAACACATGGAGAGGTGTGATACAAGGGTGCATAGACAGAGGCAATCAATTACATATATAGAGGGGGGAGGACAAAATAAAAAAGGGAGAGAGCTGTAAATATGATTCCCAAGGTGAGAAATTAAACACTCTGCAAAGATACAAAATTGTACAGCGATTATTACCTGTGTGTTGGAGGGGGGGTAAAATTCACATATGCATATATGGTGGGACTGCTCCACCATACATGATTTTTGTGTGGTGGTTTTTGCGGCAATCTCTGATTTAGTTCAGCAGTTTGTGTTTCGAAATCCTGTGCTCACTTTGCCTTTGATACATGAGGGTTCTCACATTCCTTATAAGGATTTGGTTATGCGGCTATTGGTGGTGGCATGATTGGAAGTGGCAAAGTACAGAAAATCAAGAAGAGGTGTACTTTGTGGTGCTGGTGTTCGTGTAGGTGCCAGGTGGCACTGTCAGAAAGATTAGCTCACCAGGTCAGGTTAACAAGGGAAACAGTGAAATAATAGTTGTACAGAGATCTGGTTCCCTTTCCTTGCATATGTTAATGAGAGGGTGGAGAGCATCAAGCTGCCAGGCTATCAGAGGTCCAGCTGGACAGAAAAGAAAAGCTTGATTTCTGTGTAATGATGTACGCAACTGATGACAAAGAACCATTGTACTCAGGCAGGTGCTCATTGTTGTAAAAGTTCACAATCTAAGTATAAAGGCAACACAATCCATTATATTGCGTGTTCGTTTTCTGAGTGTAACATTTTGGATTTGTTTCTGTAGAAATTTTCCTGAGATAACGAGCTTCCTGGAAACACACTGGGAACAATTTTGTTGTTGTCGTTTAGTCATTTAGTCATGTCCGACTCTTCGTGGCCCCATGGACCAGAGCACGCCAGGCACTCCTGTCTTTCACTGCCTCCAGCAGTTTGGTCAAACTCATGTTGGTAGCTTCGAGAACACTGTCCAACCATCTCCTCCTCTGTCGTCCCCTTCTCCTTGTGCCCTCCATCTTTCCCAACATCAGGGTCTTTTCCAGGGAGTCTTCTCTTCTCCTGAGGTGGCCAAAGTACTGGAGCCTCAGCTTCAGGATCTGTCCTTCCAGTGAGCACTGGGAACAATAGTCACCTCAATGTTCTCTTTATGCGACACAAGGATAATCTCTTCCAATGTGTACTTATTCCAGCCTTCCTTGCTGTTTCAATAAAGCCACTTCTGCCCTCCAGAGGAGGTGGGGTTTTGGGCTTCACGCTCCCACCACACACGTGGTGGCTGGAGACCAGCCCCCACGCGATTGGTGGAATCCGCAGCCACGTCACCCCCTGGCAGCCAATCGGATGGCTCTCACCACAAACAGCATGTTTACCAGGATAGGGGCTTTTCCATTGTTGCACCTAACTTTTCTTACCTCCTCATGGGGAGTCTTGTTGTTTTTCCCTGTTGGCTTCTGACAAGAGACAAAATCAGTATTGGGGTGTTGTTAGTTTTTTTTGGTGTAGCACTGAGATTTTGTCCTCTCTGCGGGTTTTCGTTGGGATGGTGAGCTGGTAGTTTATTTTCTTGCTTTGCTGCTTTTAATAGTTGCAGTTCTTGATGATGATAACGTTGTTTACTCACTTTCCCCACAGAATGCCTGCCCCAAACCAACTTTCATTAAAACAATATCCAATTAAAAAATCTTTAAAAACACTGGTAAATGGCAGGGCTTGCACATCCCACCCCACTAAAAGAAGCCACAACACTACCCCTCAGATTAAAGGCCGGGGTAAAGAGTCGTTGCCTGGTGCCTAAAAATAGATCAAGATGGTGCCCAGTGTGCCTCCCCGGAAAGAGCATTCCCTAAGTGGGAGCCACCACTAAAAGGCCCAATCTCATGTTGCTGCCCTCCAAGCCTCCTATGGAGGGACCACATGAAGAAAGACCTCAGATGATGATTGAATCTTGTCAGTTCATATGGCGAGAGATTATCCTTGTTAGCTCCTTTGTTGTTATTATGACATTTATTACTCACCCTTACCCACCATACACTACTTCAACTTCTGTTGGTCTTTCTTCTGTCCCCCAATAACTGTGGTCACAACCATTCCCAGATCACTTTTTAGCTTTAGGATTTACATATTTCAACTACTCCAGCAAACATTCAAGCTGGGATCCAAAGATCTACTGCAATCAAACACTACTGGATTCACGACTTTCCACCTTTGAACAGCAGGCCTGCATGTCATGTGGCAAACTGCTTTTGGAAAGGAATTTGCTATGTAGCCTGGATGAGCTGTTTTTGAGAAACATAAGCCCCATGACTCGGGCATGTAAAACTAGTTGGGCAGTCCTTTGGATCTTGGTTCCATGGACTGGAATGCCATTCAGGTATGCTTATCATTCACACCCCAGCTCTCCAGAATCAGGGATGGAGAACCTGTGGCACTCCAGATGTGGTTGAACTACAACTCCCATAATCCCTTCTGATTTCCTGTGCTGGAGTTGGAGCCCAGTTACTAGAGAGGCACAAGTTCACCAGACCTGCTCCAAAGTGACATCCCAAACCCTTTAATCACTCCAATAGAAAGTTCTGGAAACAATTGTTTGGATCCTAATATAAGTTAATTTCAGGGCATTCACCTAGTTTGGGGCTATTTCCCCCTGACAATCCTGTCTACCCATGCCATATTGTTCAGGAGTCTACCTCATCCTCCGTAGAAGCTTGTAAGTTTACGGGTGACATCAGGGAGGAGTAGAAGGGGAAGGGAAATGACCCTTCTACAGTGGTACAGTACCTCAGGTTAAGTACTTAATTCGTTCCGGAGGTCCCTTCTTAACCTGAAACTGTTCTTAACCTGAGGTACCACTTTAGCAAATGGGGCCTCCCGCTGCCGCCACGCCACCAGAGCATGATTTCTGTTCTCATCCTGGAGCAAAGTTCTTAATCCGAGGTACTATTTCTGGGTTAACAGAGTCTGTAACCTGAAGCGCCTGTAACCTGAAGCGTCTGTAACCCGAGGGACCACTGTATAAACTTCTTTTAGCTAACTTATTTTAGGATCCAAGCCAAACGACCCTTAAAACTTAGCTTGTTAGGGGCTGGAAGGTATTTGTGTGTTTTATATATTTCACTTTGATAATCACTGTTTGTTTGTTTATTATTATTATTATTATTATTATTATTATTATTATTATTATTATTTTAGCAACTTCAAAATAAACTCTGCATAATTTCCTAGTGGCCCATGAGCAGAATACTTGGTCTTGATGTAAGCATGTTGGATATGAATCTTACATTTTCATTAACAATCAAGTTAAACCATATTGTGTTCCTGATCAATGGTGTGGAAAGTTAGTATTTGGAAGAGTTCATACTAGAGGCAGCTGTCTACTGCTTTAAATGGAGAAACAGGGTAATCACATTGGAAGAAAAATCCAATGAAAGTGAAAATGTTTGCCCGCAATGTATTAGAATATTCAGAATCAGTATACGTGGAGACATGAAGTGTAGCTTTAAAAAAGAGAGAGAAGGAAGAATTCAGATCAGGTTTATAATATGTTCTACTATTTTGATTCAGTGCCCTGTGTCTGCAGGATGCTGATGCTTTTCCAGATAATCAGGGTTTGGAGCTGGGACCTTGGTCACTCCACTACTGAGCTATGTCCCTTCCCTTTCAAGTGTGAGCATGGGATAATTACTGGACGGCAGAGTACTGTGGACTCAGCTACATTCATCACAATACATTTTGAATATGTTATAAACATCCAACACCAGATGGTGCCGGAGAGCACAAAGGATTATAAAATCCAAATTATATGGATTTTTACATAGGGTTTTTTATTTTCTTTTGTTGTAATGATTTGACTTATTTATAGCATTTTTAACCTGTGTCTAGATCCACCCTGTGACCAGTTATGGGCACCACAATTTAAGGAGGATATACTGACAAGCTGGAACATGTGCAGAGGAGGGAAACCAAGGTGATCAAGGGTCTGGAAACCAAATCTTATGATGAACAGTTGGGGGAGTATGTGTGGCCTGAGGAAGAGGAGACTGAGAGGAGATATGATAGCCGTCTTCAAATATTTCAATTGCTAAATCCAATTGAAATATTTGAAGACGGCTATCATATCTCCTCTCAGTCTCCTCTTCCTCAGGAAAGAGGTGGATTTGCCCTGCCAGACCTTAAACTTTATTATGAATCAGCAGCTTTTTGCTGGCTGAAAGAATGGCTACTTCTTGAAAACACAGACATTTTGGATTTAGAAGGTTTTAACAATGTATTTGGATGGCATGCATATTTATGGTATGATAAGGTCAAAGCACACAAAGCATTCAAAAATCATATTGTTAGGAAAGCATTGTTTAATGTCTGGATAAGATACAAAGACTTATTGGAAAATAAAACCCCAAGGTGGCTGTCATCAATGGAAGCAAAAGCTCTGAAAAGGCTCAATATGGAGGCCAAATGGCCGACATATTGAGAAATTTTAGAGCAAGAAGGAGATAAATTGAGACTGCAGAGTTTTGAAAAATTAAAAAATAAAGTGAGAGATTGGCTCCACTACTATCAGATAATGGAGGCATATAACTTGGATAAGAAAATAGGCTTCCAAGTGGAAAAGTCAAAATTAGAAACAGAATTGTTAGAACCCAAAACTAAAAATTTGTCAAGAATGTATAACTTGCTGTTGAAATGGAATACTCAGGATGAAACGGTGAAATCTGCTATGATTAAATGGGCACAAGATGTTGGACATAACATTATGTTCGCTGACTGGGAACAGTTATGGACCACAGGTATGAAGTTTACGGCATGTAATGCCTTAAGAGAGAATATTATGAAAATGATATACAGGTGGTACATGACCCCAGTCAAGCTTGCAAAAATTTATCATTTGCCCGATAATAAATGTTGGAAATGTAAAGAAACTGAAGGTACATTCTTTCACCTTTGGTGGACGTGCCCAAAGATTAAGGCTTTCTGGGAAATGATATACAATGAACTGAAAAGGTATTTAAATATACCTTTCTGAAGAAACCAGAGGCCTTTCTCTTGGGCATTGTCGGCCAACTGGTGCCAAAGAAGGACAGAACCCTTTTCATGTATGCTACAACAGCAGCAAGAATACTTATCGCAAAGTATTGGAAGACACAAGATCTACCCACTTTGGAAGAATGGCAGATGAAGGTGATTGACTACATGGAATTGGCGGAAATGACTGGCAGAATCCGAGACCAGGGAGAAGAGTCGGTGAAAGAAGATTGGAAAAAATTTAAGGACTATTTACAGAAATATTGTAAAATTAAGGAACTTTAGAAGGATGTTGGATAGAAATTAAGAGGTTTTTAGCTGTAATGCTTTAAGAGACATGAAAAAAAAGGTTAACAATTGGGTAAAAGATTAATGGTAAGGATTTGCTGAACCAACAAACTGAATTGGAATACAAAGAAGGGAGGTATGAGGAGGTCTGGGGAAATAAGAGTAAGGAAGATAGGTTATGGAACATCATTGTGTTTTTAATTGTTTTATTTTGTATGTTTTTTCTTACTTTTTACTTTTTTGCTGTAATTTATACTTTTTTCTTTGTTTTCTGTATTTTTGTGAAACTTTAATAAATATCATTTAAAAAAAACAACAAATATTTCAATTGCTGTCACATGGAAGATGGAGGAAGGTTGTTTTCTCTTGCTCTGGAGGCTGAGACGCAAACTAATGGATTCAAGTTACAATAATGGAGATTCCAACTAAACATCAGGGAGAATGTTCTGACAGTAAGAGCTGTTTGACAGTGGAACAGACTCTCTCGGAAGGTGGTGAACTGACCTTCCTTGGAGGTTTTTAAGCAGAGGTTGGATGGCCATCTGTCATGGATGCTTTAGTTGTGAGTCCTACTAGAGGACCCTTGGGCTTCCTCCCAGCTCTACATTTCTACAATTCTATGCATTTTCTTTTTCTTTTAAATATTTTTATTGATTTTTACAAATAATTTCCAAAAATCATATAACATACTTTCTTATCTTATACAATGTTTTGGACTTCCATCAACTGCATCTGAAGATTTTTCAGTCTTTATCACTTAATCTGCATTTCATTATTTTCAGTATTACATTTAATACTCCTTCACTAATAATTCTTAATTCTATGCGTTTTCTGCTCAGAAGGTGCTCTTCAGACTACTTTCTCAACTCCTCTGTGTTCAACAAGCACATACTGAAAACACAACTTTACTAACATCAAGCTCATCTGACATACCCACATGGTTAAGCTAGCAAGTGTTGTTTCAAATGTTGTTTATATCAGTGTGTGTGTGTGTGTGTGTGTGTGTGTGTTATTTCCCCCCATAATTGTTAGTTTCTGTGTGCCACTGAGCAGCTGCTTAGAGTCACAGGACTCTGTTTACATTCCAGAGACCTTCCAGGCTGTTGGAAGTCTCATGGAGGCAGGAGACGGATGTGATGTTTACTGGTTTCCTGTTTCCTCTGTTCCTTTGTTTCAGTTGCTCTCTGCTCTCATAGAGAGAGGATGTATTTTGCTGTCTGCGTAGCTTAGTAATAAAGCATAGCAATGTAGCCATAAATCTCATCACTTCCACGTGCTGTTTTGGATTCTCTGCTGAATGGGGGAACGTGCCTTGGAGCCTCATCAAAGGCTCAGGTCGTTAATTATTCGTCAGGAGGGCGATCCAGGAAGATGAGCTTTATCAGCTTGGCCGAGCGGAGATCCGACAATAATCCCATAATACTGAACTACTAAGAACATCAAAAGAGCGTGCTGGATCAGGCCAATGGCCCATCTAGTCTAGCACCCTGTTCTCACAGTGGCCAACCAAATGCCTATGGGAAGCTTGCAAGCTGGGCATGAATGCAACAGCACTCTGCCTACCTGCGATTCCTAGCAAGCAGTATTCAGAGGCATAACGCCTCTGACACTCGAGGTAAAACATAGTAGATGCTAACCATTGAAAATGCTTTCATCTTTTACTACTTTACACGTTTGTTGACTTCCAAACCAGTCCCCTGGGAGTTGGCACCTATTATTCATGGTGGGATCCGGGATTGAGGAGGATCATTCATGCGAGTGATCCAGAAAAGAAGAAGGAATAACACCTCGGAGCAGGTAGTGGCATTGCAGCAGTGGTGGTTGAGGCTGCAATCCTGACCTCAGTTGCTTGGGAGTAAGCCCTGCCGAATTCAATAGGACTTCAAAGTCTGAGTAGACATAGGATTGCATTGTTACCTGGGAGCAGGTTTCAGTGTAAAGGGTTGCACTGCAAGAAAAACAAGGCCCTAATCAGGATGTCAAATACAAACTGAATATTCACGCAATTGATTTTATATACGGATATATATATATATTTTTAGGAAGCACCTGTCCCATCATAATTGCTAGTTTCTACACAAAATTCAAACCAAAACGGAAGGATGTTCAGTGAAGCTCCTAACTTTACTTCAAATATAAATAAAATTACCTCTTGGAAGACAGAACACTTTGAAACCTTCAGGCTGAAAGCCAAATAGAAAGTGTTATAATGAAGTTAAGTTGCCCTCGTTAACTCTTGCCTTTCCTACCATGAAGGTTACAATTAAAAACTCTGTCTGTTTATACTGCGCCAGCTGCTTAGCTTCTTTCAACTCACTTTATTCTTTTGTTGTAGATTTTAATTAATGAGGCTTCCTGGATTATTATTGGACTAGCTGGCTTTCTACAAATGAAAATTAGTCCCCTGCTAAAAATGTCATCTTAGTTGATCGATAAAAAGCTCCTCCAAATAGAACCTATATCTATCTATCTTACCGTGACATTTGAGTGACTGAGCAGGTAATTCAATAGAATGATGTACTGTCCACCCACTTTGAAAGATCCAAGTTGAACAGAGAATCAAGCTCTGCTGCATTTAGGTGGGGTGGGGTGGGGGGAGGAAACATTATTCATGAAGCCTTACTGTCTGTGTAAAATAACCTGACACATAGCATGAGGCTATGTGTACCCTGTGTCAAAATATAAGACACATTCTGCATCTATGTGGGGGTGGGTGTTATTGGGTTATTTTTATTTTGATTATGTATTTTGTGGTTCTATATTTTGACTTTTATTTTGTGAACTGCCCTGAAACCTCTGGGTATACGGCAGTATATAAGTTCAATGAAAGAAGAAGAAGAAGAAGAAGAAGAAGAAGAAGAAGAAGAAGAGGAGGAGGAAGATTCTATTGTTGGACCAGATCTGAACTCTATCACTTTATCTTTAACAGCAGCCTTGTCAAGAAAACAAAAACAAAATAAAACCTATCACAAGCAAAGGAATGTGCCAGACTCTGTTTCTTTTTTTTCTTTTTTTGTACTCAGCACCAGGCAACAAAGTATATTGCCTCTGACAATGGGGGTTCTATATCACATCATCGTGGCCAATATAAGACCTATACTCTATGTATTTATCGAATTTTCCTTCTCATATCAACTTCTATACTAGTGGTCATCATGGAATCCCATGCATTTGCAAAAATTAAGGATTAGAATCTCTCTCTCTCTCTGTCTCTCTCTCTCTCTGTGTGTGTGTGATACACACACACAATGAAAAATTGCAATAACTTTATTCCTTTTGACAGAAGTGGTTGAAATTTGCAGGCATCCGAGCCCTTCTTGAGTGGATTACGTCTGCCATATTACAAGAAAATTGGTCTAGGGGAGACATACTGGTTACCTTTAAATTTTGTTTCAAAACAAACTAAAATAGAAAATGTCTATAACTTATTCATTCATTCATTTTGCAGAACTGGATGCCGTTTGTAGGCATGTTTACTCTTTCCAATAAAAGGCATTTGAGCCACACATGCTACTTGAACAGTAATGGCCATTAATATTCTCAGGATCTGATTACAAGCCGTAGAAAAACAAATATGTGTATCAGTGTTAATGACAAGTCTATAATACTACCTTCACATGCCTATGCATATCCTGAATTTGCAATTCTGTGCATGCTTACCTGGGAACACAGAATAGCCCAATTGAACTATGTATGTAGACATACATAGAACTGTGTCTACAAAAGCTGGAAAAGCCAACATTTTTTCTTAATGCCAATTTAGATATTTAGAACATTGGTGCATAGCCCTGATTGAGAAATTTTTGCACATGGCAAGGTTGGCAAGAGGTCACACA